CGCTCCCCGGTGCCTTCGTCCGCGCCTCCCGCGCCCAAAAGAATCGAAACCAGAAGGTGCGGAAGCAAAATCAGAAAGAAAGAAAAACTCACCCAAACCCACTCGCATCCACCTCCCTAAAAAAGGTACCCCCCTCGCCCGCGACGCCGCTGCCGAAGAGAGCCGCGGTGCTGGTGGAGGAGAAGTCTTCGAGGAGGACGGGGCAGAGGTTGTCCTGCGCGAAGGATAGGTGTCAGCATGGGAAGAACAGGGGAAGGGGATGGGGGGAGAAGAGGTAAGGGGGGGAGGGAGAGGGAAGGGGGGAAGGGGGAGGGCAGGAGTAGAATAGGAGGAGGAGGATGAAGAGGGTGAAGGAAGGGGAAGGGGAGGGAAGGGGAAGAGTGAAAGTGGAGGAACAGGAGGGGAGGGAGGGGGAAGGAGGCGGGAGGGAGGAAGAGGGAAGAGGGGGGGAGGGGAGGATGGGGAGGGAAGAGGGAAGAGGAGGGGAGGGTGGGGATGGGGACAAGAACGACGGGAGGAAGGTTCGAGGAGCAAGTTATGGGGAGATGTGCGAGGGACGAAGGACGAAGGACGGTGCTGCCCGCCTCACATCGCAAGACGATGACGTGGCGTTGCGCGGCACGAAACGACACGACGCTTGCTCGCCGTCCACGACGCTTGCTCTCTATTTTCCACAAAAGCAGGACGCGCGCGCTCCACAAAAGAATTGTAAAGACGGAAACCCACCTGCAGCAACAACACCCCCGTCCACCCGACGTAGATGCGCCCCGCGCCGGCGGCGATGCCTAGAGAGCGAGCGTTAGCGAGCGCGTTCAAGCCAAACGAGAGGACGAGGGAAGGAGGGGGAGAGGGAGAAGAGGTGGGGGGAGAGGAGGGGATGGGAGGAGGGACGAGCGCCGCCTTCGACCAGACGCAAGCAGCGCGATTGAGCACAACAGGGGAGCGCGCCGCCGTCAACCGCACGCAAGAAGAGCGACAAAGCACGCGGTCAGTCTCGGCGACGAGCGACGAGCACAAGTCCAAGCACAAGCACAAGGACGAGATGCGTAAGCCAAAACCAACGACGACACCGACGAGGACAATGCCAGCATCGTCGGGCCCAACGATGGCAATGCGCGCTGAGGAGGGCACGTCCGACTCCCAGCGGACGCGCACCAACGAGGGCCAAACTCGGAGAGCAGGAGGCCAAAGTCGACATGCAGGCACACCGCATCAACGTGGCGCGCTCCACTCTTTCCGCCGTTCCTCGCCGTCACAGCGCACGGCTGGACACAGAAACGCGCGTGTCCAAAAACGGCGTCCCTCAAAACCAGGAAAGCAAAAAACCCCGCACGAAAAAACACTCACCCAACAAAACCATCACATACGTCACCCAATACGCCACCCTCGACAGCGGGTCGCGCTGCCCGACCCACGGCTTGTGCAGCGCGGAGGAGAGCGTGGGGCGCGCGCTTGTGGCCTTTTTCTTGTCCGGTGTCGTACCTGAAGCGAATGTCAGCTCGTGCTTTCTTTCATACGATAGCAGACGAAAAGAAGAAACGAGAGAGAGTGGGGAAAGGAAGAAAAGGAAGGGGTAGTGAGGAGAAAGGAAGGAAGGATAGAAACGGGGTAAAAAAGGGAAGGAAGGGGTAGTGAGGGAGAGAAAAGAGACACGCACCCTCCCCGACACCGACATCCGTCAAACTACTCCCCGCGCTCCCCCCTCCGCCGCCTCCACCACTAGGGACAAGCAGAGCGGTGCTCTTCGGGCGCTCCCTTCTCAGCCTCGCAGACGACGGCAGGGGCGCGGCGTAGATGGTGAGCGGGCGTGCGGGCGGGGAGGCGAACGCTTCGCGTTTGTGTGTGGGCTTTGCGTTCCCATTCGCTCCTCCGTTGTTTGAGTTGGCGTTTCCATGGGCGCCGGTGGAGTTGGTGGTGTCGCCATGCAAGGCGGAGGTAGAGGTGGAAGTCGGACGCAAAGACGTCCCCGTACTCGGCCGGGACGAGGCAGCGCCGCCGATAGAATACGTCGAAAACGCGCGCGGGACGTCGACGAGGCTCGAGGCGCGGGTGCTTCCTGGGCTTGGGAACGGATAACCTCCCCCGTTGCTTGCTCCTCCTACTCCGACACCGACGCCAACGCCGCCGACGCCGCCGCTGAAACTACTGTTAGCCGTATGCGTATTCCCATGCCCATGCCCATGGGGCACATGTGGGGTAGGCGGGAGGGAGGAAAAGTGCGCGTGCGGCGTCGAGGGGAAGTGCACCGGCGTGTCCATCCCGCCCCCGGTGTTGGGACCGGAGGAGGCGGAGAACGAGCGCACGGAGGCGGGCGGGGAGAATGGGTTCCCTGTCGCGGTAACGCCCGCGCCAGGCGTGCCCGGCGCCGAGCCTCCCCCTGCACCCGACGAAGCGTTGGTGAAGTTGGTCGCGAAGTTGTTGGCGGGGGTGAGGAACGACAGCGAGCGCGGGGTGTGCGGCGCCGACGCCGAGGTGGGCGACGGCGGCTCCGAGTCGCCCGCCGCGAACGGGTTCTGGGCGGCGTTGGGGGAGGGGGCGGAAGGGGCGGAGATGTTGGGCGAGGAGGCGTTGCCGCTGTTGGCGAACGGGGGGTTGGGCGGGAGGGGGACGAACGAGAGCGGGGCGGGGCGGGCCATCGTGCGGGGCTTCTTGTCTATAATCCTAGTATCCTACGGCCGTGCGTGTCTTCCTCCTGAAGAAAGACGAGGACTTGGACTCGGACTCGACTTTGGTGTAACGGACTCAAGGCAGAGAAACTCGAGGCAGAGACGCGTCCGGGTGAGGTGATATACTCTGTCCGTATCTGCCTGTATCCGCCCTGTCCTGTCTTGTCTTGCTTGTCCGGTCCTGTCCAAGCAAAGCAAAGCAACTCCGACTTCGAATCGAATCTGGCTATCCATCTTCATCGGGCATTAGATCTTGCGCTTTTCGCTTGCGTGCGTAATGCGTAATCGTCGTAATGCGTAATCGTCGTGTAATCTTCTTCTTCCGTCTTCGTTTCGCCGAATCGGCCGCCTCGCCTAGATTAGAACGCCGATACCGACACCGACGCGTCCCTATCAAGGGGCACGCAACAGGCGGGCTGCCACCTATCATAATCCATCCATCTCGCTATACGCGTCTGCGTTTGTATCAACTCTGTCTTTGTCTTGTCTTTGTCGGGTGCATCAGGCTTCAGGCTTCAGCGGAGAAACAACACCTGCGTGTGCCTGCCTGCCGTGTGTGTGTGTCTCGGGCCGCTCCTGTTGAGCTCCGACGTCTTCTCGAATCCCAGCTGCCAGTATGATAGTCACATTCGGAGAAAATAAGTCGAATGGTGGGAGAATTTAGAAAGAGATGAACAGGAATCCGGAGGAATCCCCATCACACATCAGAATCCCGCCCGGCGCCGGCTTTCATTATCGCCTCCTCGCGTGGCCCAATGGGGAGCGACGGCGTTATGCTTCTTTGCTCCCGTTTGCTCCCGTTTCTTGTTGGACGCAATTGGTTGGACGCCCGAGAGCGCTTCGATAGGGAGTTGAAAAAATACCGAGGCCACGGGGGTTATTAAATTGTGATTGGGGGATCATTGATAGAGGAACGAACGATTTAGGATTCAGGAACACAAGTCGGGTAAATTGAGGGAATGGGCGGAGGTTCGTTGATTATTGATTATTGGTACATAGCAGCTAAAGAAAAAATGCAAAAGCGATAGCGGGCGACCTGAGGAAGAAGAACAGAAAAAAGGAGGGGACGAAAGCATGACCTGACCCGGAATCGAACCGGGGAGTCCCGCATGATTCATGAAGCAGTCTTTCACAGCGAGCGGGTGTGATCTATTCACCATCAGGTCTTCCTACCTCTCTTCTCAACCTTGCTCAGTGCTACTTACCACTTCTGTGAACAAGCCACCGAAGATAAAAGAAGCCAAGGGAACAGCAAACAACCTGGCCCGGAGTCGAACCGGCGAGTTCCAACACAGTAATGTTTTCTTGGGCATCAAGAGGAGTGGGTGTGAACCATGCACCACCGGGTATTTATACTCCCCTCTCAGCCTAGCTCCCTGCTAGCATTTCTGTCCCTATAATTCGACCAAAAAGCAGATGAGACGTGTGACCTGGCCCGGAATCGAACCGAGATGTTCCGCATACATCTTTTCGACTCCACCGCAGAGTATGGGGATGTGAACCATTCACCGCCAGGTCTTCTTACCCGTGTTGTCAACATTACTTAATCGTAGCATTTTTTGTGAATAAACCGAGCAAAAACACTTCGCAAGACGAGACATGACCCAGCCCGGAATCGAGCCGAGTGGCTGCCGAGAACTCCCGCACAACGTGACAACGACTCACCGACACCAAAGAAAGTGGGTGTGAACCATTCACCATTCACCACCAGGTCTTCTAACCTCTGTTTTCAACCTAGTCTAATCCTCGCATTCGGTAAATAAAACGAGCAAAAAGAAGTGTTACAAGCATTGGCCTGACTTGGCCCGGAATCGAACCGAGAACTCCCGCACAAGTGGATTGGTTGGCCGACAGCGTCACAGAGTATGGGCGTGAACCATTCACCACCAGGTCTTCCTACCTTGACCTCATTTATTCCTAGCGTCTCTACACTAATAAAGTAAGAATGAAAAAAAACGGTGCACATTCTTGTCTATGACTAATAGTACTTGGTCCGGAATCGAACCGAGAACTCCCACAGCACTCGCTTTGCAAGTCAACAGTCAACAGGAGTGGGTGTGAACCATTCACCACGAGGTCTTTCTACTCATCTTCTTTGCCCTTGGTTAGGCGACACATTTCTGTGGATGAAATGAGCAAAGAAACACCAAAGAAAACAATAACCAAGACCGGGGATTCCCACAGTAAATTTTTGAATTGTTGCGCCAAGGAAAGTGGGTGTGAGCCATTCACCACCAGATTATATTCTCTCCCTTATTGACCTAGCTTGGTGCTAGCACTTCCACATTGAAGTAAGAAAAGGTAAGAAATCAAAAATTCTGATGGAAGGGACAATGACCTGGCCCGGAATCGAACCGAGAACTCCCACATAATTCGGCTGTCTCCTTCCAAGAGCTGTGGGTGTGAACCATTCACCACCAGGTCTTTACATCTCTTGTTCAACCTTGTAGTGTCAGGAAAAAATTCTGTGTTTGAAAGACAACAAAAAAACCCCGTCATACCACAGTCATAATCTGGCCCGGAATCGAACCGAGAACTCCCGCACAAGTGGATTGGTTGGCCGACAGCGTCACAGAGTATGGGTGTGAACCATTCACCACCAGGTCTTTCTCTCTCTGTTCTCAACCTTTTTTTAGTGCTGTATTTTGTCTGGATACAAATTGAACCAGAACAAGAGAAAAAAAAACTGGGAGCAATTCGACAATGACCTAGCCCGGAATCGAACCGGGGACTCCTACATAACTCGTAAGCCACGGTGCCCAAGGAAAGTGGGTGGGAACCATTCACCATCAGGTCTTATAACTTCTGTTCTCAACCTAGACTAGTCCTAGCAATTTCGTGAATAAAACTGGGAAAAAGGCTCATAACAAAACACAGTGCATGATCATGACCTGGCTCGGAGTCGAACCGAGAACTCCCACGTAACATTGTAATCCCGTTTGACGCAACGCAGAGGGTAGGGGTGTGAACCATTCACCACCAGGTGTTATTCCCCTTGTTCTTCCACTGTGCTTAGTGCTAGCATTTCCGCACAAATACAATGAGCAAAAAGATGTTGGCTAGTAGAAGAGAATGACCTGGCCCGCACACAATGCACAGTGAACACAGCAAGAATTGTGGGTGTGAGCCATTCACCACCAGGTCTTCCTACCTCTGTTCTTAACCTGACTGGGTGCTAGCATTTTTGTGACTAAAAGGAGCAAAAAGATGCTGGATTAAAAGCCATTACCTGGCCCGGAATCGAACCGGGGACTCCCACATAAATGCGAAACAGTGCGCCACAAGGAAAGTGGGTGTGGACCATTCACCACCAGGTCTTTCTACTCACTCTCTCGGCCTGGCTAGGTGCTAGCATTTCTGTAATGAAAAAAGAAAAGACGTAAGAGACGACATATGACCTGGCCCGGAATCGAACCGGGAGCTCCCACGTACATTTGTCTGAATCCACCGCAGAGAAAGGGGATGTGAACCATTCACCACCAGGTCTTATTCCCTATGTTTTCAGCCTGGATTAGTGCTAGCCTTTCTGTAAGAAAAATTCGAACAACGTGAGCAAAAAGAACACATCATCGGTCAATGACCTGACCCGGAATCGAACCGAGAACTCCCACATACATTTGTCGGACTCCACCCTAGAGTAAGCGGATGTGAACCATTCACCACCAGGCCTTTCTACCTCTGTTTACAACGGCATTCTGTGAATAAAAGAGGGAAAAACCACCAAACACAGTGCATGGCCTGGCCCGGAATCGAACCGGGAACTCCCGCAGAAATGGAACGTGTTCAAATTGTCCCGTATATGTAAGGAAAGTGGGTGTGATCCATTCACTACCAGGTCTTTCTGGCTTCATTTTCAACCTCATTTAGCGCCAAAATTCATGGCCATAAAGGAGGGAAAAAACACTAGACACGGTGCATGACCTGGCCGGGAATCGAACCGGGACCTCCCACAGTACCTGCCTAGTTTTGTGTAAAGAGGAGGGGGTGTGAACCATTCACCACTTGGTCTTCCTACCTCACTTCTCAACCTTGGTTAGTCCTAGAATGAAAGGAGCAAAAAGAGAACTGAAAGCATTCAGAGAACATGATCTGGCCCGGAATTGAACCGGAGACCCACCAATGCAGAAGCTCACTAGCACTATCCGAGCATGTGGAGTGGGCGTGAACCATTCGCCAGGTCTTACTACCTCTGGTCTCAGCCTGGCCTAGTGCTAGCATTTCTTTGATAAAATTCGAACAACCTCAGCAAAAAGAACACATCGTCAGTCAATGGCCTGGTTGGGAATCGAACTGGGAACTCCGATGCAAATACTCCCGACGTGCCGCAGAGAGTATGGGTGTGAATCATTCACCGCCAGGTCTGTCTAGCTCTGCGTACAACCCTGCTTCAAGAGTGCTAGCATTTCTGCACAAATAAATGAGCAAAAGGATTCTGTAATGAGGAGATAATGACCGGACCCGGAATCGAACTGAAAACTGCCACGCAAGTGCATTGATAGGTCGTCACAGATGGTATGGGTGTGAACCGTTCACCACCAGGCCTTTCTCTCTCTGTTCTTGTACCTTGCTAAGTGCTGATGTTCCTGCGAATAAAATAAGCAAAAAGAGCAGAGTTTTTCTTACAGCGGCCTTATGACCTAGCCCGCAATCGAACCGGGAGCTCTCACACACCTGGGGATAAAATCAACAAAGAGTGTGGGTGTGAACCGTTCACCGCCAGGTCTCAGGTCTCATCACTTCTGGTTTATAACCTCGTTTAGTGCTAACATTTATATGAATAAAACAGGGGAAAATGAGCTGAAAGAAGAGCCAATGACCCAGCCCGGAATCGAACCAAGAACTCCCACGCAACACATATTACAGTGGGTGTGAGCCAGTCACTACCAGGTCTTTTTAGCCATTTTACCAACCTCTGCTGAGATGGCGGCACAAATCAATTGAGGAAAAACAGAATCTGCAGACTGTGAGGAGTTATGACCTGGCCCAGAGTCGAACCGGAATATTCAACGTACCTGAGGATGAGGACCGGAAGAAAAAGAAAAAGGAAGATGCACCATATACCATATACCATGACCCAGCCCGGAATCGAACCGGGAATTCCCACACAACTTTGATGCTGAAGTAGAAGGTGAACCATTCACCGTCAGGTCTTCCTACTCACTTATTAACCGTGTTTAGTTCCAGCATCTTCAGTGCAAATGAAACAAGCCAAAAAGGTTAGCAAAGAGAAAGCAATGACCTAGCTCAGAGTCGAACCGATCCCACATAGATCACATCCAAATAGGAGAAGGAAAGTGGGTGTAAGCCAGGTCTTCCTACCCCACCTCGTCGGCCTTGTGTAGTTCTGGAAATTTTGGTGCACGCAAAAAGACTCAAAGAAGTAAGCATGACCTGGCCCGGAATCGAACCAAGAACTCCCGCATAAACTTATAGTCGCAGCTCCGCAAGAGGAGTGGGTGTGAACCATTCACCACCAGGTCTTATTACCTGTGTTTTCAAGCTTGTTTAGTCCTGGTTTTCTACAATATAATGGGCAAAAAGAAGTACGATGACCTGGCCCGGAATCGAACCGGGAACTCCCACAGACACTCATTAGAGTACTGCGCGAAGAGAGCGGGGTGTGAGCCATTCACCACCAGGTCTTTGCACCTCTCCTCTCAACCTTTTTTCAGTGCTGTATTTTTTTGGGGGGGTACAAATTGAAAAAACAAGAGCTCGAAAGAACAATGACCTGGCCCGGAGTCGAACCGAGAACTCCCACATAAACGCGAGGCTCAAATTCTCTCGTATAAGGAAAGTGGGCGAACCATGCACCACCAGGTCTTATAAACAATGGTTCTCAACCTTGCTAGGTGCTGTGTTTCTACGCTGAAATGGGCAAAAAGTTGTGCTTGAAGTGTAATGACCTGGCCCAAAATCGAACCAAGGAATCCCGCATGATTCATGAAGCAGTCTTTCACAGCGAGCGTGTGTGATCTATTCACCACCAGGACTTCCCGGCTCTGTTATTAGCCTTGTTTAGTCCCCGCATTTTTGTCGATAAGATTCGCAAAAAGAGAACTCAGAGCGATCAGAGAACACGATCTGGCCCGGATTCGAACCGGGAAGTCCCCAATACATTTGTCTGGCTCTATCGCAGAGTACGAGGATGTGAACCGTTCACCACCAGGTCTTATTACCTCCGGTCTTAACCTAGACTAGGTGCTGATGTTCCTGCAAATACGAGAAAAAAGGTTTCTTTATATGTAGCGGCCTTATGACCTGGCCCGGAATCGAACCGGGAACTCCCGCACAACATGACAACGAGGACCGGCACCAAGGAAAGTGGGTGTGAACCATTCACCGCCAGGTCTTCCTGCATCTGTTTTCTGCCTCTCCTAGTCCTAGTCTTCGTTTTTGTGCTAATAAAAATGGCACAGAACACGTCCGAAGAGGAAGAATGACCTAGGCCGGATTCGAACCGAGAAGTCCCACGCAATAATGCCAATGCAACTTAGAGAGACCACAAGGAAAGTGGGTGTGAACCATTCACCACCAGGTCTTCTAACCTCTGTTTACAACCTAGAATAGCCCTAGCAATTTCATGAACAAAACCAAAAAGGCCCCGACAACGAAGAAACAGTGACCTGGCCCGGATTCGAACCGAGAACTCCCACCAAGTGATGACTGCGGTTCTGTTTTGACGAAAAGTGGGTGCGAACCATTCACCACCAGGTCTTTTTTTATACTGGCTTTCAGCTTGTGCAGTACTAGCATTGAGGAAAATGCGCAAAAGGCTTACGACCCAGCCTGGAGTTGAACACCGAATGTGCAGGTACAACCTGACAGGTGTGAACCACTGACCGCCAGATGTTCGTATCCGGTTGTGTAGTGCGAGTAGTTCTGCGGATAAGACAATAACCAAAAAAGCTATTGGAACTCCCACTGTACTTGCTTTGCAAGGACCCAATAATTGTGGGTGTGAGCCATTTACCACTAGGTCTTTCTACTCCATCTTTCAAGCTTGCTTAGTCCTATTCACGACAAATTGAACCACAAGAATGGAAAAAGACGAAGTCGAAATTATAAACGACCTGGCCCGGAATCGAACCAGGAACTCCCACAGGACACATACCGAGAAATGCGCAAGGAAGGTGGGTGTGAACCATTCACCACCAGGTATTTCTACCTCTCTTTTCAGCCTTGCTAAATGCTGTATTTTTACGATAAAATGGGAGGAAAAGGGGGACATGCGATGGAGCATGACCTGGCCCGGAATCGAACCGAGGAATCCCGCATGATTCATGAAGCAGTCGTTCACAGCGAGCGGGTGTGGTCTATTCACCACCAGGTCTTCTTGCCTCTGTTATTAACCTGAATAGGTGCGAGCATTTCTGTGGATAAAACAGGAAAAAAGAGTTTCTAAAGACCCCGAGAAAGACCTGGCCCGGATTCGAACCGGGGACTCCCGGACAACTATATATCATGGATCGACACCAAGGGGAGTGGGTGTGAACCATTCAACACCAGGTCTTCCTACTCATCTTCTCAACCTCACCAGGTGCTAGCAGTTTCATGAATAAAAAAACCAAAAATACCATGCCAATGAAGGACTCCATGACCTGGCCCGGATTCAAACCGGAGATTCCCACAGTAACATTTCCACTTGGGCACCAAGATGAGTGGGTGTGAGCCATTCACCACCGGGTCTTCATACCTCTGTTTTGTAACCTTGCTTACTTGAAGTGCTTCTACCATTTCCCCGCAAATAAATTGAGCAAAAGAAACTACAATGACGGCGATAATGACCTGGCCCGGAATCGAACCGAGAACTCCCACATAAACTGATAGTCGTAACCCCGCAAGAGGAGTGGGTGTGAACCGTTCACCACCAGGTCTTCCTACCTCTCTTCTTGACCTCATTTAGTCCTAGCGTCTCTACACTAATGAAGTAAGAAAGAAAAAAACGGTGCACATTCTTGTCTATGACTAGTACTTGGTCCGGAATCGAACCGAGAACTCCCACAGCACTCGCTTTGTAAGTCAACAGTCGACAGGAGTGGGTGTGAACCATTTACCACCAGATCTTATTACCTATGTTCTTAACCTGACTGGGTGCTAGCATTTTTGTGACTAAAAGGAGCAAAAAGATGCTGGATTAAAAGCCATTACCTGGCCCGGAATCGAACCGAGAACTCCCACGCAACTCGAGGTCTGATGACGTTACAAAGAGCGAAGGTGTGAACCACTCACCACCAGGTCTGCCTGCATGTGTTCTCAACCTAGTCTAATTCTCGCATTTTGGTGAATAAGAGGAGGAAAAAGAAGTGTCAGGTAAAAGATGACCTGGCCCGGAGTCGAACCGGAAACTCCGAGATAAATCGAGAGCAAGCTTCCAATGAAAGTGGGTGTGAACCATTCACCACCAGGTCTCCCTGCATCTGTTTCAACCTTGCTTAGTCCTCGAATTTTTGCGAATAAAATGAGCAAAAATACTTCGTAAGACACAGTGAATGACCTAGCCCGGAATCGAACCGAGAAGTCCCACGCAACACATATTATCGCAAGCAACACAAGGAAAGTAGGTGTGAGCGGTTCACCACCAGGTCTTCCTACCCTACTTCTCTCATCAGCCTTGTTTAGTGCTGTGTTTCCACCATAAACTGGGCAAAAAGAAGTGTTATTAGGATTGGCACATGATCTGGCCTGGAATCGAACCGAGAACTCACATAAATGTGAAACCCCCCCAAGGAAAGTGGGTGTGAGGCATTCACCACCAGGTCTTCCCACTCGCTTATTACCTTCGTTTAGTCCTGGCATATTCAGTGCAAACGAAACAAAAAGGATAACAGAGACAGAGGAATGACCCCACCCGGAATCAAACCGGGAACTCCCGCACACGTGGATTGGTTGGCCGACACACACTCCGGAAAAAGGCAAATTTTGGCGTCCCCGAAGATGTATCTTAAACTCTTAGTATCAGTAACAGTATTAGTAGCACGAAAACTGTACCTGAAAGGCAGGGTTTCTGGCCGCCTGAAGTGGTTTCTGAAATGATTGGTTTTGGAATCAGTATCTGGTGATCTGAAACTTACCGTTTCGAGCGCCATTTCCGTTCTCCATAAACTGCTCCTGAAACTTTGAGTTTCAGGGAGCAGTTTATTGTTCACTGAGGACAATAGTATCGGTCACAGTTTCGGCTGTTACCGAAACTATTGTTTTTCGGACTCCTGAAACCGGCCGGCCCGCCGCACTGAAAACAATAGTTTCGGCAACATCCGAAACTGTGACTGAAACTATGGTCTTTGGTGGACAATAAACTGCTCGTGAAACTCAAAGTTTCAGGAGCAGTTTCTGTTGAGTCGAAATTGCACCTGATACGGAACATTTTGGGTGGCCAAATACCAATCCCGAAATTTCCCGTTTCAGTAACCCTTTCAGTGCCCCAGATTTGCTACATTTCTGGTACAATTTTAGCCCTACTTATACTGTTACCGATACTAAGAGTTTGAGATACATCTTCAGGGACCCCAAAATTTGCCTTTTTCCGGAGTGACAGAAGGTAGGGGTGTGAACCATTCACCACCAGGTCTTCTTGCCTCTGTTATTAACCTGAATAGGTGCCAAATAGGTGCAAGCATTTCTGTGGATCAAACCAGCAAAAAAAAAAAGAGATACTACAAAGAGGACTTATTACCTGGCCCGGAATCGAACCGGGACTTCGCACGTAACCAATATCCTGAAAATCAAAGGAAAGTGGGTGTGGACCGTTGACCACCAGGTCTTATTACCTCTCTTTTCAACCTCTTGTATAGCTAGTATTTTGGTGAATAAAAGGAGCAAAAAGAACACAAAACAAGACCGAATAACCCAGCCCGGATTCGAACCGGGAACTCACGCACAAGTGGCATCAAGACACAGCTTCAAGGAAAGTGGGTGTGAACCATTCACCACCAGGTCTTCCTACTCTAATTGTAAACCTTGCTTTTTCCGACAATTCTGTCAACTAGATAAGGAAAAGAAACGTCGACAACTCAGCAATAACCTAGCCGGATTCGAACCGGGGACTCCCGCATTGGATCGACACCAAGGGAAGTGGGAGGGAACCATTCACCACCAGGCCTTTCTCTCTCTGTTCTCGTACCTTGCTAAGTTCTGCCGTTCCTGCGTATAAAATAAGCAAAAAGAGTTACTTTACAGCGGCGTTATGACCTGGCCCGGAATTGAACCGGGAGCCCCACAAATATCGACGGTGAACATCACCATTCATCAAGGGTGTGAATCATTCACTACTAGGTCTTATCACTTCTGTTCTCAACCTAGCTATGTGGTGGCATTCCTGTGGATGAAACCAAAGAAAACACCGATAATGACTATGATGTGACCCGGAATCGAACCGGGGAGATCCACAGTAATGTTTTTCACTCGGGAGTCACTAAGAGGAGTGGGTGTGAACCTTTCACCGCCAAGTCTTTCTACCTTGGTTGTCAACCTGGTGTAGTGCAGTATTTCTATGATAAAATGGGCAAAAAGAAGGGGCTGAAGGTCGATGATCATGACCCAGCCCGGAGTCGAACCAAGAACTCCCACACGACTTTTAATATTGTCGTTGTCGTAGAGGTAATGGGTGTGAACCATTCACCACCAGGTCTTACAACTCCTGTTCTTAACCTTGTTTATGTCTAGCAATTTCGTGAATAAAAACCAAAAAGGCTATGACAAGACACATGCAGTGCATGACCTGGCTCGGAGTTGAACCGGGGACTCCCAGATAAATCGAGAGCAAGCTTCCAATGAAAGTGGGTGTGAACTGTTCACCACCAGGTCTTCCTACCTCCATTTTCAACCAGTCTGAGTCCCAGCATTTTGGTGAATAACGGGAGTAAAAAGGATCAGAGAGACTCGAATATGACCTGACCCGGAATCGAACCGAGAACTCCCACAGTAGTTTTGCTGTACGGAGTAAGAGTTGTGGGTGTGAACCATTCACCACCAGGTCTTTCTGCATGGGTTCTTAACCTGCCTGGGTGCTAGTATTTCTGCAAATAAAGTTCAAGCAAAAAGCAGATGAGAGGGTATGACCTGGCCCAGAATCGAACTAGGGACTCCCACATAAATGCGAAATCGTGTTCAACTTCTCTCGGACAAGAGGAGTGGGGGTGTCCACCGGGTCTTCCTACCTCTCTTCACAACCTTGCTTGGTATGAGAATATGAGTGCGGATGAACGAAGGAAAAAAGTTTCCAAATGAATGCAGGGTCTATGACCTGCCCGGAGTCGAACCGGGGAGTCCCACATGAATGCGAAATCGTGCTCAGATTCACTCGTAAAGGAACGTGGGTGTGAACCATTCGCCACCAGGTCTTTCTATCTCTGTTCTTAACTTCGCTAGGTGTGCTTGGTGCTGGCATTTCTTTGACAAAATTCGAACAATCTGAGCAAAAAAAGAAGCGCAATACCCAGGATAATGACCTGGCCTAAATATATATATATATATATATTTGTCTGACTTAGGGAGACTAGACCTGGCCCGGAATCGAACCGAGAGTTCCCACATAAATGCGAAACCGTGTGCCCCCAAGGAAAGTGGGTGTGAACCATTCACCACCAGGTCTTGCTACCTGTGTTTTGAACCTTGGTTAGTTCCGGCAATTGCAGCACAAATAAAATGAGCAAATGATGAAAATGGGAATGATGACCCAGCCCGGAATCGAACCGGGAGCTCCCACGGTACCCGCGTATTGTGCAAAGGAGGGGGTGTGAATCATGCACCACCAGGCCTTTCTACTCACCCTCTCGGCCTGGCGAGGCGCTAGTTTTTCTGTAATGAAAAAGAAAAGAGATAAGAGACGACATATGACCTGACCCGGAATCGAACCGGGACTCCCAGATACAAGCTTCCAATGAAGGTGGGTGTGAACCATTCACTACCAGGTCTTATTACTTCTGTTCTTAACCTGGTTAGGTGGTGGGATTCCTGTGGATGAAACGAGCAAAAGAAATGACTACTACAAGGCCCATGACCCAGCCCGGAGTCGAACCGGGGACTCCCACATAACTCGTAAGCCACGGTGCCCAAGGAAAGTGGGTGGGAACCATTCACCACCAGGTCTTCCTCCCTCTGTTCTCAACCCTGTTTAGTCCTAGCATTTTGGTCAATAAAAGGAGCAAAAAGAAGTGTTACAAGCATTGACATGACCTGGCTCGGAATCGAACCGAGAACCTACGTAACGCATGATGAAGAGTCACAAAGGAAAGGAGGGATGAGCCATTCACCACCAGGGCTTCTATCCCTGTCCCTCCACCTTGCTCGTAGCACTTCCACACTAAAGTATGAAATAAAAAAATCTGATGGAAGGGACAATAACGGGGCCGGAATTGAAGCGGGAGCTCCCACATAAATGGAATGCTTCTTGATCAAGAGATTGGGGCTTGAACCGTTCACCACCAGGTCTTCTCACTCATCTTCTTTACCCTTGCCTAGGCCAAGCATTTCTGTGCAGATAAAATGAGCAAATTTCTTTTTTTTTTAAAAAGGAAAAGCGGACACAGACGATGATCATGACCTAGCCCGGAACCGAACCCAGAGCACCCACATAAATGTGTAACCGTGCGGCACAAGAAAAGTGGGTGTGGACCATTCATTATCAGGTCTTCCTGGCTCAGTTTTCAACCTTGCTCAGTGCTAGCAGTGACAGGGGGGGAAAGGACACAGACTCCGCCAGATGGACACCCCCAGGTCTTATGTCCTATCTCCTCGACCTTGTTCAGTAACATACCTTCTCTTGACTAAATGAGGGAAAAGAAAATGCCACGAAAACGGAATGACCTGGCCCGGAGTCCTTGCGGAGTCCATCCGAGAACTCACATACATTGATGATACAATGAAGTCCAACGGGAAATGGGGCACCAGCAGATCTTGTTCCCTCCCCTTCAGATGCTTATTTAGTGCCAATGCTCTGGTGAACAAAATAACGAAAGGAAACGACGACATGGACGACCTCGCCCGGATTCGAACCGTGGGAAACCTGCGAATTCAGGTGCGCAGCACCCGGCTCAGTTCACATATTTTCGTAGCTAATTTGAACACGAAAACTACCATGAACTGAAACCATCGCTCTTGGCCCGATAGTGCGCTTCTCGGCTCGAATAACCACGCTCTGCGCGGACCTGATCATACTTCGCCCCCTGGTTCCTGTTTTATCCCACGGTCGGATATTTTGCGCAATTCATGAATGGTTTCTCCCCACGGCAGAGAACGAGTCCAAGGTTGATCTCGGTCCATCTTCCTGTTTTATTCGGGGTGAGTGCCTCAGCAGAGGAAATGCATCCCCGGGCTTCTAGTGGATTCTGAGAGCGACTGGAATGACAAGGGTGGCAGAAGGTCCGAGAGATGGGAATAACTCCGACTGGTGCATTCTAGCAGTTCTCTCTGGCATTTGCTGTCGTATTAGTACTAAAGTTCGACGTGATCCTTCGCAACGCACGCATTTCTGAATCTGAAGCGCGTGCGTGTTCGCTTCGGTTATGCGAAGGAACGAACAGATAAGCCGGGAAGACAGCGGTTCTATCAATCGTGTGTTTCAGGATCCGGGATCGGATTCGACGAGGCTTGTCTGATTTGACTGTCGGGCGCATGGAGCATGCAGATGAGGGACCGAACTTCAGAAATTTCCGACACCACTTGTATGGTTATGATATTGGAGAATTGTCGTCTATTCCGCCTGTCGCTGGACTTTTGGGTATCACACTGTGGGGCGACCGAATGGCTCGAGATAAAATAGACGCTAAATAACCGCCTTTTCTTCAATGGATTCCTGGGCGAACACTGCCCGTGAAACACATCAGGAATGGGCAGTTGACAGTACTCCACAGCCGCGTATGGATTTCTGAACGCTCTTGGCCCAGTTGTTTACCGTCGTTAGTGAATCTCTGTACGCAGTAGCCTACAACGATTGCAACCCCCCGCCGACTCAGCATCACGGGTTTCGAAACTCGCACAACGATAATAGATGATACCTGACGGTTCGGGAAAAACCCACGCGCCTGCTTGTGGGAACGGACATGTTTCACGGTGCACGATCAGCGGTGCAGTCCCCTACGGCTCGAGCTAAAACACATTCCAGAAAAGCACGATTGAATGGTGGATCACCGAATGCTTCATGCCACGCAAGTTGAATGGAAGGGAACTTGTTCCCGTGTGGTAAATGTGCAAATGGTGGAGCACCCTATGGCCCGACAAAAATAAATACACGCCGCGGAACTGCCTCTAGTTCAGGCCGCTGCTGTCAGAAGAATAAGCGCCAGAATCCGGCGAAGTTAGAACCGCCAGGCGACTCAATGGTGGACGCGACGTCGGGTGGAATTTGTACCGCCGACTAGCACATTCCACAACACCGAAGCATTGGTGCCAGAATTCTGCGCGACGTGGTGGTGCACAGAATCCAGATGACGAGCCCAGTGCGGCTGTAGGTGGCCATAATGGAAAAAACCGTCATCGTCCGAGTCGGTACCGACATTCCACACATTACTCCACAGCACGGCCTTCCCTTTACACGTCCTGGACATCTTCCAGGCGACAATGATGATGACTGCGGTGATAGGTGGCTCACTTGCCTCCACTTCAACAGAGACGTTGATCTCCCCTCGTTCAAACTTGGTTCGGCCCAATCCGGCGCCAACTGTTGCCATCACTGTTCAAATTAGACTTTCTCACCCATGTTCAACTCGACTTATCTGTCACCGTCAAACACGGTCACGCTTTTGTCCCAGGCCGGACATGATCCATCGCGAGATTGACAAGTAGCCTGATTCTGTCGGTTGGGTGGTGCGGTTCCAAATATAATCAGAATCACAATCAGTCCTTCTTTTGGATTTATGTTCAACAGTAACTGCTGTGCGGGTGGCGGATTGGCAATCGTAATCAGGTGTTGGTCTGGATTCTATGTTGAACAGTAGCTGTTGTGTGGGGGTGGCGGATTGGCAGCTGCTTACCTCGTTCATCATCAGATCCTCGATCCTAAAAATTTCGTTGCACCATGCGCGCCAGCGCGAAACACAGCTACAATCTGAACATAAGGAAACATACCTGAGAATCACGCCTGGGAGCGCAGAGACCTGTCAGTGGCGTAGGGAAGCTGGGTTAAAACGGAAAAGGCCGTCTTTCCGACGGGCTGGCGCGCTGCTGATAGATGGCGTTAGACATTTGATACGGCGCAGAACTAAAATTAGAATAGACTGTCTCGAAAACTCTGTTTGGAAGTTCGCCCAAATCGCGCTTCCTTGTCTTGGCTCCCACCCTCCACGTCGGATTCCGGTGCGTGGTTCTCGGTGCTTCGAGCCTGGACATCTCGGTGCGCCGTCCCACCTGAATCCCGGAGGATTGCACGTCCTAGGCCTAGGCCTGTTGAAATAATGGAGGCAAGCAAGCTGAGATTCCGGCGGGACGCAGACAGGACGTGTCCGGCGCGACCTTCTGCCCCCGGGTCAGTGTCGTGAGCGTCGGGCCCTTCGACTTCCTACGTCCTACTTCCACTTCGACTTAATTCCCGAGTCTAGATAGATAGGCACACCCACCGACCTTCGAAGGGCTTATTTGCCCCGGTGCCTGCCGCCCTTTTCTGCCGCCCTTTTTTTTAATGCAACGTGTGTTATGTTATCGCGGCGTCTATGTCGCAGATCCAGACTCCTCGGGAGCGAGCACATCGTATCGCATGTACGAGAACGGTTGTGCCTGGCGGCGGCTTCTTGACATTTTTTTTCTCTCGTGTTTGTGTCTGTGGCGGCGGTATTCTTGGATTCACTTGTTTTTCGGGGAGGTCTTCGAGTTTGACAGGTGGCGCGCAGGGTTGGCGGGATTCCCCTGGTTGATCCCCATCGCCCAGGATGGATATGACCTGCCCGAATCGGAGATGGATGCGACTTGAACGCCGGGAATCCGAATTGGGCGCCGATTGAAATCAACCCAACATTCCAAATCCGGACAAGAAATCATAAATCATAGATCTGTCGGTCAGCTGGGCAGTGCAGTGAGACAAGGACGAGGACGTAAATACGTCAGTTCATTGCTGTGTGGGCGCGCGCGCGTCTAGATATGTCCGCACTGTAATGTTAAATCGGGGCATAGTACTGCTGAAAACAATCTCTGTTGGATGGGTCTGAGGCGGGGATTGGGATGCGGTGCAGAGTTAGATGGACAGTGGCTGTGGAATTGATATTGGGGGAGGACGACACAAATTGTTGGAGGCACGCGTTGTTACGTGCTTATCTCGGGTGTGGGTTAATTATGTCTGTAACGTCGGTAGAGCGGAGGACAGCACACGTTTAGAACTTGAAGCGCATGGACCGCATGAAAGCATGTTCGTAATTTGTGAGTATCCCCTGTGATGAAAGAAAAACAGACAGAGGGATGAACGTTCACGTACCACGTCCCTGCCGAGCGTGGGCGTGGCAGCTCAATTAAATTTGATTCCGTCTGAATCCGCCTGTCGCCGCCCGGCGCGATAAGAGCTGTTCGTTGTTCCCTTTGTTCTCGGCTTCGGGTTAATGATGGCTGTATAATATGTACCCCGTCGGCATCTCAAGACGCACGTCGGGTATGGACCGTCCGCTGCCAGTGTACGCAATGTGTCCTCTTATATCCTCTTGGGAGAGCGTCCGGTGTTGTTTGTAGGTGATGAACGTACCTGATTTTCAGCGAAATTAATTACGCCCCTCCTTACGATATCACCCAGAATAAAACAAGATTGAACACCGGGTGGTGCAGAAATGCATTCTGACTGTCGGTGCGATAAGACCTGCATAACAAATGTTGATGGTGAAACTGAACATTTGGGCAGATCGAATTTATTCGGGTTGCTCGGGGCACGATAAGCTGTTTGTTCCTTCCTTTCTTCCGATGTTGGCATGGTTTTTATGGGAACAGAAAGAGAATAACTTCCAGAGCAATCACATCATACCGCCCCGGGAATCGCGAAAATCCCAGCCCGGTCGGCGCGGTCTGTGAAAGTGAAAGTAACACCAACATACGCCAAACTCTTGTCGAAAGAAGCTTTCCTCGAGGTGGCGAGCTGCATGTCTAACGACCTGTAATATCTCCCAGTTTAATACGAG